CTGACCGTCTACTGCTGACTGACTGACGGTCGATAGTCCGACAAGGCCACTTCCACCTCGTCTACAGGAATACGCCAAACCTGAAGAGTATTTTCCCTCGTATTCTGCTCTTGCTTTCTGTACGTAACTTGGGCTGCTTCTAAGTTCCGAACTGACAGTCCTGGGACACTCTAGAATTCTTTTCCTGGTGGGAACCGGTGGTGGCGGCACATCACCAAACGTGTTCTCTCCGGGATGAAAGCTGTGAGTGCTGGACCCTAACAGGCCAGGGTGCTCCCTCCCGTTCACACAGGGATGCGTACTGAAACACATTCCAAATGAGCTTGGCGGCAGGCCTCACTTGGAAATCTTCCAGGACTCACGCATCAACGTATCTGTGGAGCTGAAGCAGCAGCCAGCGTCCCCACCCCACTGGCAGCCTTCGGGATTTTCCCAGCGGTAGGTCCTAACTCTCCCCGGCAGGCCGGTCTCGTGTCTGTGGAAGCGCTCGCTCTCCTTCCTAGGGGTGACAGCACTTAAAAACTAAGACCGTGCCAGGCTGGGCAGGGGCTACTCACCCTGCCCACGCAGGAGTGCTAGGGTCTCAAACCCTCGTTAAGTATTTTGGCAAAAGCTACAGGTTAGCATCCCTAATCGAAGAACCCAAAATCTGAAACTTTTAGAGCACTAACATAAAGTCACAAGTGGAAAATTCCGTACCTGACCTCATGTGATGGGTTGTAGGCACAGTCAAAACTTTGTTTCATGCACAAAATTATTAAAAATACTGCAGAAAATTCCCTTCAGGATAAGGTGTATATGGAACACAAAGAATTGTGGGTTTAAACTTGGGTCGCCTCCCCAAGATATCTCATTATGTAGGTACAGCTGAGCCCTGAACAACACGGGTTTGAACTGCACGGGTCCACTTACATGTGGATTTCCTTCCGCCTCTGCCACCCCTGAGGCAGCGAGTCCACCTCCTCCTCTTCCCTCTTCCTCCTCCTCAGCTCACTTCTACATAATGAGTAGTAAATACATCTCCTCTTACTATTTTCTTGATGACATTTTCTTTTCTCTAGCTAACTTTATTGTAAGAATACAGTATAGAATACATGTACAAAACATGTTAACCGACTGTTTATGTTATCAGTGAGGCTTCCAGTCAGCAGCAGGCTGTCAGTAAAGTTTTCGGGAGTCAAAAGTTATACAAGGACTTTCAACTGCACAAGGGGTTGGTACGCCTAACCACCGCGTTGCTCAGGGTCAACTCTTTATGCAAGTATTCCAAAATCTGTAGCAGAATCCAAAACACTTCTGGTCCAAAGCTCTCTGGATAAGCCACTCAGCCTGCACTAGATATGCTGACATTGAAGCCTAATGCTTCCAATCACGTATTTCTGGTTCTGTGGAAGAATACAATCCTGTACTTGAAGAAAAGTAATCTGAGAAATTTAATAGCAGTCTTAATGTTACTTGTGTAAATTTTTGAAGCTGGGGACTACGGGGCTGTCTGTGCTGAGCACATCTGTGAACTCACATTTTGTTCTAAAAGAGCTTCCACACTGTATCCCTTTTCAGCCTGCAGGTACTTCTGATGGAAAAGCTTCCCGTCAAATACATTCCAGGGCATGAACTCGCTCGTCTTCCAGGGGCAGCCGCATGCACTGTTGACCAGGACCAGAGTGGTGAGGCCACGGACCAGGAGGGAGCCCAGCTGCACGGCTCTGGAGTTGACATAATCAGGCTGCGGGAGACACACAAAGAATGTGAACAGGAGTCACGTGTACAGGAAACACGCCGTGTGAGTTAGCAACGCACTCTTAACTCTGCTCGGAAATTGGACCGTGGCTGCCTCCACCAAAGCTGAGCGTCAGGAGCTCTACAGATTACCAGAGGCCTTGGGAACTGCGTGGTGGGGAATTCGAGGGGCTCCTCTTCACCAAGCTCGTCTTCACTCATCTGCCTGTCACCCACACACAACGCAGACGGTCACTTGGGCCTGCCCCACGCGCACGGGCAGTGCAGCGTCTCCTGCCCCTGGAACCTCTGGGCTGCGGACAGAAAGGCCCCTTCACCCGCGTCAACACTGGTCTACTAGGACAATGCCCGCAAGATCATCCACTTCTTGGTTTGTGCTCTTCTAAAAAACTTTCTTCAAGGCAAAGGGACAGGAAGGGAAGCCAGGAGAGTATCATTTTACATAATGATGAGTTTACTGTATTTTAAAAAGTCATTCTTAATTGTTCCAATTATGAGTATTAATTATTAAAAATCTCATTTTAAATGAATATTTATTTAAGAATAAAATGGCTTAGGTATCTCATTGGGTTGATGGGCTGATAATTTTTACAAATTAAGAATGTCATCCTAATATGAAATATTTCTTTTCATTGTCAAATCTGCCTCAGTGTCCAGCACTCTCATTGTTCTTGCATGGAGAGGCCGCCCTAAGGTTCTAGAGACTTCCTACGTCCAGTAAGGAACTGCACAAGACTGTTTCTGGAAGTCCTGGCTGCGATGGCCTCTCGCAAAGTGGAGTGACTCTAGTAAGTACCCGAGTGATTCCATGAACAAGGTGAGTGCAACTGAATCCATCATTTTCTGGTTTATGTTGCCCAAATTAACCAAGAGCTACTTTAAATCAAACTGAAATAAATTAGGGAAAAAGTGACAGATGTTTTAGCCCCTTTATAAGTAAGCCTTCCTTATTAAAATAAAAGAAGCTTGATAATCATTTTAAGAAACTTATCATGAACTGGGATTATCTCAGTTTTTATTTTAGCTCCAACTCCTATATAGGAATATCTCAGAATTAATCTAAGGTTTAATCAAAATGTTTTTGTTGTGCAGCACATTCTAAGAAAATGTCCTGAAAGATACTCGTTCTTTCAAAAGAACAAAACTAAACAAGCAGGTGGGGCTGAGCGGGCGAGAAGCTGCTTCCCACAGAGGCTGTGGCGAGCACCTCCGCTCCCGTCTTACTTCCGCGCTCACCTTAAAGCACCTGCCGTCCTCCTACCGCTGTCAGACGTGCCGAGCCCTGTACTCCTGCGTCCACGCACAGGCTGTAGTTGGTCCAGCACTCACTGGTCAACGCAGGAGCCAGCAGCCACGCGTGGGATCCAAACTCTAACCGAGTAAATGAAACGTTCAGCTTCTCAGATGCCCTGGCCACATTTCAAGTACTCAGTAGCCACACATGCGCTGAGTGGCCAGGGTACTGGTCAGCACAGAAACAGAACACGTCCCTCACCATGGAGAGCTCTACCGCACAGCTCTCGTCTCGAATGCCGCTTTCTCTTTGCAAACTGCAACTACCACTTCCCCACTCAGCCCAGCCCAGCCAGCCCCAAGTCTCACCCTCACAGACGGTGGTGCTCAGAGCTGCTGTTGGCACCGCCCCTGTAGACGCTCCTCGTCTACACTTGCAACCTGGTTCCCCGCTCAGTGCACTCCACAGTGACTGCTCAGCTGGTGTCAACTGAACTAGTGGATAATCTGCGCTAACACAGAAGTTCCGTGTTTTCTCCGAGTAAGCTGGGGGCAATTCTCTGACTTGGTAGACTTTTCTGAAAGGGAATCAATTTCTGTTCATCTCCTGTGGTTCATCCCTTCACAGCTGCTTGTCTGTTCTGAAGCAAATTTTAAATGAAGTGTATCATCCCCTCAAAGCACAAATCCTGTGTGTACCACTTGAGCAGTCACAGACCAACAGTGTGGACATCAGATTAAAGAGCAAAGACTCCTCTGTCCCCTCCGGATGCTGTCTGCTGCCCCCAAAGGCAGCACTAACTTCTCAAACCGCAGACAGGACTTGCCTTCTTTCTGTAAAAATGAGTCAGACAGCGTATTCACTTCGTCTCTGGCTGTGGGAGGTTTGTCCGTGCTGCGTAAGTTCCTTCCCTCTCGCTGCTCCCTGCCACTGCACTGACGCTGGGAGTCTGACTGGGGTCGCGCTGACTGTGGAAGTTATTCTGAGGGTCACTGACATCTTTAGATGCTGAGACTTCTTTCTCCCGTGAAGGCAGCACACCTCTCCATTCATGTAGGTCTCCTTCAGTTTCTTTCAGTGATGTTTTGTGGCTTACAATGCAGAGATTTTGTACAACTTTTGCTTTTTACTAATGCGTGTTTTTCTTTGATGTTAGTGTAAACTTAAAAATTTGGGAGTTACTTTTCTGTTACTGCTTTATACATTTTGTTTTTGTATGTTGACTTTGTATTTAGAAACCTGTTAAGTCTGCTTATTAATTCTAATTGCTGGTCTGTAGAGTCTTCTGGATTTTCCACACAGTTGTGTCATCTGCCCATAGCAATAGTTTTCTTTCTTTCTTTCAAATCCTTTGCTTTGTATTTCTTTCTTCTGACTTACTCTGTTGGCAAGGCTCTCTGGTCTAACAGAACTGGGGAAGAAAGCACCCTGATTCGCTCTGAAGAGAAAAAACTTTCAATATTTCACCACTAAGTATGATTTTTGCATTATCTTTATTAGATTAAGGAAGTTCCCTTCTAGTCCTGGAATTTGCTGAGAGTTTTCACCATGAACAAGTACCAAGTTTAATCAAAATTTTTTCAGCATCCATTAACATAACCATACACTTTTTTGCATTCCTTGTTACTAAACTGAATGACAATGGTTTTCAAATGTTAAATAAACCTTGCATTCCAAAAATAAACCCAACTAATCATCATGTAGCATTAGTTTTATATATTGCTAGATTCTATTTGCTGATACTTTGTTTAAAAGGTTTGAATTTATTTTCATGAAACAGAATTTGCCTAAATTTTTATTTCTTGTGATGCATTTGTTAGATTCTGGTATCGAGATTTTGCTGGGCTCATAAAAAAGCTGTAAAGCTTCTTTCCTGTGCTATTCTCTAGAACGATTAGTACCACACGGACACTGCTTCCTCCTGAGGTGGCTGGGAGACCTTCTGCCTTGGGGTTTCCTGTGGGATGAGTTTTCATTTCAGATTCGACGTCTTCAGCAGACACAGAACCAGTCGGGTTTTCTATTTCTTCACACTCTGTCTCATTAGGTTGTTTTTCAAGGAATATGTTTATTTTACCCAAATTTTCAAATGCATTGGTATAATATTCTCTTATCTCTTTAAATGTCTAAATTTTCTATCAGAATGTCTCTCTTTTCATTCCTTAGATGGGCAATTTATGCCTTCTCCTTTTCTTAATTTTGTTACAGGTTTATCAGTTTATTCATCTTTTCAAAGAATCAACTTCCTTTTTAAAGACTTCATATTCTTGGAGCAGTTTTAGGTTCACGGCAAAACTGAGAGGAAGGCAGAGATTTCCCACGTGCCCTCTGCCTGCCCCACCCCCAGAGGCCACAACCAGTGAGCTGACACCAACGCGGTCCACAGGGGACAGCAGAGCTCACGCTCGGCGCTGTCTGGACGTGTCTGTCACGAGAGCACCCTACAGAGCATCTCCCTGTCCTGAAAACCCTCCTGACTGCCCTGCGGCACCCACTGTCTCCAGTTTTGCCTTTTCTGGAACGTCTCGTATTTGGAATCACACTGTAGGCAGCCATTTCCGACTGGCTTCTTTCACATAGTAACATGCATTTAAAGTCCCTCCACATCTCCTCACGGCCTGACAGATGCATTTTTAGCACTGACGGACATGCCACTGGCTGGGTGTGCCAGTCTGCTTATCCAGTCACCTACTGAAGGAGATCCGGTTGCATCCAAGTTTTGGGGATTATGAATAAGGCCGCTAAAACCTCTACCAACAGGTTCCTGTGTGGACAGAAGATTTCAACTCCTTTGGGTAAACACCAAGGGGTGCGATTGCTGGATCACATGGCAAGAGTATGTTTAGTTTTGTAAGACCGCCAAATTGTCTTCCAAAGTGGCTGCACCATTTTGCATTCCCACCACCAATGAATGAGAGTTCCTGTGAAGAATCAACTTTAAAAATGTTTTTCTCTATTATACATATGTTTTCTATTTCATCGATTCCTGCTTTTTTATTACTTCCTTCCTACCAGTCTCTAGGCTTGATTTGTTCTTTTGCTAATTTATAGAGAGGTATATGCTTAGATCATTGATCTTTAGCCTTTCTTTTTTTCAAACATATTCATTTAATTCTATAAATTTCCTTCCAAGAACAGCTTTTAGCTTCATCCCACAGATTTTGATACATAGCATTTTCACTGTCATTCAAAATATTTTATAATGTTCAACATGGTTTCTCCTTTCACCTGAGAGTTATTTAGAAGATATTACTTAATTGTCAAATACCTGGGAATTGTCATTTACTGCATTGATTTCTAGCTCATCTTTACTGTGGTCAGAAAACAGACACGATTTCGATAGTCTGAAACCTGCTGAAGCCTGCTCTGTGACCTGTCATCTAGTCAATTGTGGCAAGTTTTCCACGTGCACTTGAACAGCATTTATTCTGTGGCCTTTGGGTGCAGTCTCCTCTGCCAGCGAGGTCAAGTGTGTTAATTGTGTTCAAACACCCTAATCCGCAGGGTGTCTGGTCTGCTTGCTCTGTCAGTGCTTGCGGGAGGTTTTAAAGCAGGGCTCCAGAAACCTTTTCTCTAAAGGGCCAGACAGTGAATAGTTCAGGCGTCGCTAGCCCTGTGCAGTCTCTGCGGGATATTCTTTTTTTTTTTTTTGAGACAGAGTCTCGCTTTGTTGCCTGGGCTAGAGTGAGTGCCGTGTCGTCAGCCTAGCTCACAGCAACCTCACACTCCTGGGCTCAAGCAATCCTTCTGCC